ACCTGCATTTGACAGCTTAAAGTAATAGGAGAAATGCAAGGAATTGTACAGATTGCAAAACCCAAGTGAAGCAACCGAAAGCCCACCAACAAAGGTCCTAAGTGCTGGTTCACACATGTGCGGTGTGGACTGAAGCTCAGGTGTCAGTCAATTGATACATTAGTTGTTCACCGGCTCAGGACAGGTTTAGATCAGGTTCAGGACAGGATTTTATCCTGTGCACAACTGATGACGTGCAGTTTAAAAATGGTTCCCATAGAAGTCAATAGCCTGTAATCCACACCTGAACCGGACTGCACTGCTCAGAAATCAGATAGGACTCTTTTTCAATCCACAGGGACAGTTCACCGAACATATGTGAACAGGCACCATACAAAGCAATGTTTTTTCCAATGTCATGCAGATTGGATCTGGTTCAATTCGCATCCAATCCGCATATATGTACATTTTTACTAAAGCTGTATTTCAAGCATCAAACCCACCACCACCCTTATCCCCCCACACTAATAAACCCCTTTTACTTTCCTAAATCTGTAGTCCTAAGTCTTCTATCTTCCAAATTTTAGAGAAGGAGGTCCCCTCAGGTGTGTATGTCAACTGGGTGACATACACTTCCTATGGGGTGTCCAGCAGTACAGTCCTCTTAGGTTCCAGAAGACTACAGAGCATTGTGATGACATGAAGAGTTGACCAGTCAGCACAAGCCAGTCTTCAGAGCTTGATTGGCACCAGTGCAGGACATGGGAGGCAAACTTAGGTGAATAATAAGAAGCTTCAGAAGGTATTTAGAATAAAACATTGTGAATGGGTGGGTAAGTGGTGGGAGGAAGGGATAATTGGGGGCAGAAGTGTGCCATTGAGTCAAGCTCAAGACAGCCACCTCAGGCAGCACTTGGAGGGGTGGCATTGAGGTCAGAGTACCCATCCTCTTTGCATTTCAGTAAAGTTGCCCTGTACACACACTGTGTTACTAAGGCAGTTGCTAGGATGCTAGTGCTGCTTGCACCCTAACAACTAACGACGCTGTGCAGCCCACCTGCATGCATCCCGGCAATCAGTGACAATGTGGACCAGTCAATAATTGATGCACAGCCACATAGCATCTTTGGTTTATAGTACACTGGCAGTTGTGCCACGTTGTCTTTGGTAGCTGTGCCAGCATCCAGGCAACCAAAGGGGGTGACAAGAATGGCTACATCAGGTGGTAAAAATGTGATGGCCATTGGACACAGTATAGCAGAGTACCAAAGCTTGTATGATCTCCAGTAGGCATCCTTATTATAGATAATGAACCAAAGAACGTTCTGGGTGGATTGTGATGGCCAGAGAATGGCTGTAAGTATATTACTTTCTAATTAGGTAGTTCATATCACTTTCTAATTAGGTAGTTCATATCACAGGGGTTTTTTTTTTTTCTGTGATCATTGAAGCAAACAGAAAGGGTGCAAAACCTAGTGCATTAAGAGCAATCAATCTTTAATGATTAAAAAAAAAATAAGTATTGCACTCATATGTATCCAATGTATATGCACTTGTCACAGTCACAAAGCTGGATACTTATGAGTGTAATACCTATATGTATATTGTCACTTAGGATTGATTACACTTTTCCTGTTAAAAATAATTGATTGCGCTTAATGCACTAGGTGTGCGCCCTTTGTGTTTGCATCTGTTTTATTCAGTTCACAGACTTTCCCTGTCTGCTGGTGCTATTGGTCAGTGGGAGTAAACAATTCTTCTTTAGTATTAGTGCCCTATTGTTGGCATCAGTGGGAGAGATAGTACATCATTGTTGGCGTCCGTGGGAGGAATAGTGCATCATTGTTGGCGTCAGTGGGAAGAATAGTGCACCATTGTTGGCGTCAGTGGGAGGAATAGTGCATTGTTGGCGTCAGTGGGAGGAATAGTGCACCATTGTTGGCGTCAGAGGAAGGATTAGTGCACTATTGTTGTCGTCAGTGGGAGGAATAGTGCACCATTGTTGGCGTCAATGGGAGGAATAGTGCATTGTTGGCGTCAGTGGGAGGAATATGCACCATTGTTGGCGTCAGTTGGGAGAGATAGTGCACCATTGTTGGCATCAGTGGGAGGAATAGTGCACCATTGTTGGCATCAGTGGGAGGAATAGTGCACCATTGTTGGTGTCAGTGGGAGAGATAGTGCACCATTGTTGGCGTCAGTGGGAGGAATAGTGCACCGTTGTTGGCATCAGTGGGAGGAATAGTGCACCATTGTTGGCGTCAGTGGGATAAATAGTGCACCTTTGTTGGCGTCAGTCTGAGGAATAGTGTCTGGTATCAGTGGAAGGAAAAGTGCCCCAAGGGCCAGATAAAGGCAAGCAAACGGCCGCCATTAGACCACAGTTTGGAGACCACTGCTCCAGATGTTTGAGAATCCTTGAGTAGTTAATACACATTGAGATTTCTTTTGTCTAGTGCATTTTCTTGAGCAGTAGGGATATCACCAAATCTCTCTCTAAATATCCCAAATATCACACAGAGACAGCAGTGCCTTAGATCTTACACTGCTGATATACAACTATGGGGTAGTAGGCATAGGAGAGCTTAGGTATACTTACATACTAGGACATGCAATGATATTTATCAGGAAGAATATATTTTTAAAAATATATTTTTGTTAAATATATTCTTCAGATTTTTTTAACATATAAAAAAGTAATTTTAACATATATTTTTACATATATTTGTAAATGCATTCCAAAAATGTAGATTTCAATTTTTAAAGACATACCGTATATTTGAAATTTGTTTTTGAAATTTCAACATGCAGTATATATATATTTATTGAAATATATTGAATGTGGCCAAAATTGTAGCATTTCAAATACATGGCAATATATTTGGGTAGAATATTTTTAAAATATTATTATTTATTTCAGGTACTTATATATAGTGCTGTCAGTTTTACACAGAGCTTTACATATATATTGTACATTCACATCAGTCCCTAACCCTCAAGGGGTGTACAATCTAAGGTCCCTAACTTACATTCATACATACACATACTAGGGCCAATTTAGACAGGGTCTAATTTACCTACCAGCATGTCTTTTGAAGTGTGGGAGGAAACTGAAATACCTGGAGGAAACCCATGCAGGAACAGGGAGAACATGCAAACTCCAGGCAGGTGGTGCTGTGGTTGGGATTTGAACCAGCAACCCTAATACTGCCAGGTGGAAGTGCTAACCATTTAGCTACTGTGCTGCCCCAAATATATTTTTCTTTCATGTGGGTATGAGAGATAATAAATACCTGGAAGTGTTACACTTACCTATATGTCTTAGCATGCATATACTCAACATAAAAAAATAGATCTGGTAACAGGTCCACATTAAATTGCACATACATTAATTGTGATATAGAAATAAGATCTAAAAGAGAGATGTGGTGAGCAGGGGTGGACTGACCAATTGGAAACTCTGGCACTGCCCGAGGGCCCGGGGTCAGTAGGGGTCCCCATGAGGTGCCCCTGGTACCTTTTTCATAGGCTTTTTTGAGTTTGGGCAAGGACACAGGGGCCCCATGATCCCCTATTGCCCGGGGGCCCCATGAGTTGTCAGTCTGCCCCTGGTGGTGAGTTAGATCCAATGGCGGGACTGTTCTACTTTAATATACAGACATTTAAAAAAAATCTTTCCAATTTTTAGGCAACCCACAGTTGGGCATATTCAAAGTGCTTTGAGGACACACACATTAAAGTAACCCAACTTTTGTCTTGCTTTAGTCATCACAGAGATTTCAGGTTGGTTGTGATGGGTTCCATTACATCACTCGGCCTCATAGCTCTCTGCACGGCATGATGGCGAGGCTATAATCCAGAGGATGTTCGGCAAGACACAGTCATGGTGTTTGAGGCACAGCTGGAGAGCTAAACAAGCTTGATCCATACATTCCTGTCTACACGTAGACAGCGCTGAGATCAAGGGAGAGGAAGCAAGGGTAATTAACCAGCAGATACTGAGCCGCGGAACATTAATTAAACTATGTATGGATACATCCAATTTGCTTAGTGTGCTTTGCTGGCATATTAGGAGCAGCAATAATTATTCATTTATATAGCTCCAACATGTTCTGCAGCGCTTCAAAGAGGCCAGCGGACCATCCCGATTGCTCCCCTCCCTTGCTGTGGAGCTCCTAATGACATGATACATTAGGAAAAAATGACTTTAAGCAAATAGAAATTCCCCTGTTCAGTCCACCTATGTATTCCTTCAAAAGGAATAAACCATTTTTTTTTTAAACTTAGCTAGTATAATTATCTGGAATTTTTTTTCATCTTGAGCTCTTACATATCAATGGAAAAGAAAGTTGTGCTAGAAAGCACTGAACTAATATAACAAGTTCTAAGATGGATATTATCTTACTGATACTTAAAGTGTTACTAAAACCCACAACAGTACAATCAGTCTGTATATGCAGTAAAGCATGCTTGTTATATTCACTGTGGAATCCAAGGGGTTAATCCTCTGCATTGTGTAAAAATGCTGTTTGATCCTGTATTCTCTGATCCTCTCCTTCTTCCGGTGTCCCTCTCTTATCTTCTGATAAAACGTGTGGAGACACTCTGCACATGCTCAGTTTGGTGTGTATTGCTAGAGAGGTTTTTTTATTTCTTGGGAGAGTACATGTGATCAGCACAGGACCAATCAGCGCTGTCGAGACAGAGGTTGGGGTTCTGCATCCTTCTAGAGCACAGGTGTCAAATTGGCGGCCCTCCAGCTGTTGCCAAACTACAAGTCCCATGAGGCATTGCAAGATTGACAGTTACAAGCATGACTCCCAAAGGTAGAGGCATGATGGGACTTGTAGTTTGGCAATAGCTGGAGGGCCGCCAGTTTGACACCCCTGTTCTAGAGCAAAATGAAAACTCCTATAAGCTTCAACCAGTGCTCTGCTGAACACTGATAGAATACACAAGACTGCTCTAACTGCTGATGAGAAAAGGTATTTAGTAGTTTATATTTACTAAAATAATTGCATTTCCATGTTCTGTGTACTGTGGGAGACCAGATATAGTGAATGCAGGGTCCTGGGTTTAGTAACATTCTAAAGAGGAACTAAACTGTATCTGAGAACCACAAACTAAAAATGCTATTTCATTCATTTTTAATATTCAAAGCAAACTCCCCAATCCATGTCTCCATGCTTCATTTTCTTGAGCAATAACTTTGAAAAATCCCCCCTTTACCAGTTCTAGCCATGGCCATATGAGTAAGTGCTGGTTCATAGGCACCAATAAGGTGGTACCACCAGTCCCCCTGTATCTTGCCCAGGTCCCATTAATTTAACAGGGGAGGTTGGCCAGCTGACAAGCAGAAGGAAGGAGAACCTGGACATGAGGAGTGGCGGGGACAGCATTTACTGGAACCGACCGCCCACAGTTCCCCCCTATAGCAGGTGCAGCTTCTCCTCCTCTCCCTCTAACCACTTTCAGCTGCTGGCAGGGGGAAACCAGTAAATTCTGCCCCTGCTTTCCAGGTTCCCTTCTGCTGCTCAGGTCCCGCTGTGTGCTCCTCTGGTCCCCACTTCAGCTCTGCTTCCCCTCTTCCCCCTCCTGCTTTGGGGGATTGTTTCTGGATGGATAGCCACTTCCTTTCCTGAATGAACACAGGGAGTGATCAGTACCAACCACTCACTGTGTTTGTTCATAAATGAAGCATAGTAAATTGTGTTTACTATGCTTCAATTTGTGAATGAACAGGGAGACTGAGCAGAGTTCTTCCTGTTCATTCATTCTCTGCAGCTGAGACTGCAGAGTCAGAGACTGTCCTCAATCACTTTCTCTGTCTTAAAAGTGAGACATTAGGGATCTGTTTAGACCTCTGATATTTCACCAAAACCACCCAACAGGGGTGTTAAAAATAAAATTGTAAAAAAAAATAAATGTAAAATTCAATTGTAAGAAATAGTAGAAAATACAATTGTAAAAAATAATACAAAAATAAAATTGCAAAAAACAAAAACAAAAAAAACCCAGTAATACATGACTCATTTACATGGGTTCTCTGGCCCATAAAGTGTGAATGAACGTTTTGTTTGTACGATTGGAGCCACCTGTTACTCCAAGGGGATGCAGGAGCTGCACGAATACCGCCACGGGTCCTAATTATGGCAGGTGTACAGGTGTGGGTGAGTGGCTCCAAATGCCCAATGTCTGTGTTTGGGGCTGTGCACCTCCTTTTACGCACCTGCCAAATTAAGGCTAGCCATACATTATACAATTTTCCTTTAGATTTACCTAAAACTATATAATATAAAGTCAGCCCTGAACAACATTTTCAATAGAATCCAGTTAAGCAGGCCCTTGTACTACATAGTTGAAGGTAAATCTAAAGGAAATTGATAACAGACTTGTATAATGTATGGCCAGCCTAAGACCTGTGGCTGTGTGTTTGTACAGCCGCTGTGTCCCCATAGCATGACATAGGCTGCCTGCACACAGCTCCTGCCACATAAAAAAAGAGAGAAATGACACTTAGTGCTCTGGATTGAGACAAGTACACGCAGGGGTGGTCGGACCATTTGGAAACTGCCAAAGGGCCGGGGGGTCAGTAGAGGGCCCCATGAGATGCCCCTGGTACCTTTTTCATAGGCTTTTTTGAGTTTGGGCAAGGACACAGGGGCCCCATGATCCCCTATTGCCCAGGGGCCCCACGAGTTGTCAGTCCACCCTGAGTACACGCTATAAAGGGATATGCTTTGCTCATATTTCATGTCTGAGGTTTACAACCACTTTAAGCCCTGAAGAAGGGGAGGCCATTACCTCAAAACGCATTGGCGGTATCCGATGACCCTAAACAATAAATATTTGATAAAGTCGATTTTTCAAACGTGTACTAGACACCCCTCAATAAACAGCCAATATAAGTCCAAGACTTGAAAGTTCATTTATAGAGTACATTAATAAAGACTGAAGAGGTAGCAGCCTATACTCACTTCTCTGGAGGCCAATGTCTCCTACTTCTTTTCCTCTCCAGTGCTGTCAAGTATCTTCAGAATTCAACTCTTCCACAAGTGTTGGATGCCCGTTTCCCCGCTGTACGCTATGATGACCCTTATGTCACTGCTGGGTCCTGTAGTGACTTTGGGGGTGGAGGAAGGAACCACAGTGTGCAGCGGGGGGTACAGACATCTAACATTACCAGAAGTCTTGAATGCTGAAGGGTCTGATGGATCTTGCAACAGTGGATTGAAGGGTGGTAGGAGATAGGGAAAGAAGGAGGAGATGTTGCAAACATTTGTACTAGGCACCCCTCAATAAACAGCCAATGTACATCCAAGCCTTGAAAGTTCATTGATAGAGAACAGTAATAAAGACTGAAGAGGTAGCAGCCTATACTCACTTCTTTGGAGGCCAATGTCTCCTACTTCTCTTCCTCTCCAGTGTTTCCAAGTCTTTTCAGCATTCAACACTTCCACAAGTGTTGGATGCCCATTTCCCCGCTGTACGCTATGATGAACCTTATGTCACTGCTGGGTCCTGTAGTGACTTTGGGGGTGGAGGAAATAACCACAGTGTGCAGCGGGGGGCACAGACATCTAACATTGCCAGAAGTCTTGAATGCTGAAGGGTCTGGTGGAGCTTGCAACACTGGATTGAAGGGTGGTAGGAGATAGGGGCCCCCAGAGAGGTGAGTGTAAGATAATACAGAAGCTATTCTGTTTCAGGGGACTTTAAGAACTTCATCAATATAGAATATTAGTAATGATGATAGTAGGAATATGTCACTAGGTGGAAAGGTACAATGGACATCCACCTTAGAGCAACAAATTGTCCTGAAATAGCCAGTATGATTAAGCCGTTTTACTGGCACAATTCTGCCTCATTTGATTCCTCTGATTTTTAAAGTGTTACTAAACCCACAACAGTAAAATCAGTCTGTATATGCAGTAAATCATGCTTGTTATACTCACTGTAGATCCTAAGGGGTTAATCCTCTGCATTGTGTAAAAATGCTGTTTGATCCTGACTTCTTTGATCCTCCCCTTCTTCCAGTGTCCCCCTGTTATCTCCTGATAAGACATATGGTGTGGAGTCACTCTGCACATGCTCAGTTTGGTGTGTATTGCTAGAGAGTTTTTCTTCTTCTTCTTGGGAGAGTGATCAGCACAGGGCCAAACAGCACAGTCCAGACAGAGGTCAGGGGTTCTGCATCCTCCTAGAGCAGAATGAAAACTGATAGAAGTCACAAGACTGCTCTAATTGCTGATGAGAAAAGGTATTTAGCAATTTATATTTACTGAAATAATTGCACTTCCATGTTCTGTGTACTGTGGGGGCCAGATATAGTGAATGCAGGGTCCGGGGAGACCAGATATAGTGAATGCAGGGTCTGGGGAGACCAGATATAGTGAATGCCGGGTCTGGGCAGAGCAGATATAGTGAATGCAGGTTCCTAGGAGACCAGATATAGTGAATGCAGGGCCCGGGGAGACCAGATATAGTGAATGCAGGGTCGGTGGAGACCAGATATAGTGAATGCAGGGTCCTGGGAGACCGGATATAGTGAATGCAGGGTCCTGGAAGACCAGATATAGTGAATTCAGGGTCCAGGGAGACCATATTTAGTGAATGCAGGATCTGGAAGACCAGATATAGTGAATGCAGGGTCCGGGGAGACCAGATATAGTGAATGCAGGGTCCGTGGAGACCAGATATAGTGAATGCAGGACCCTGGGGAGACCAGATATAGTGAATGCAGGGTCCGGGGAGACCAGATATAGTGAATGCAGGGTCCTGGGAGACCAGATATAGTGAATGCAGGGTCCGGGGGAGACCAGATATAGTGAATGCAGGGTCCATGGAGACCAGATATAGTGAATGCAGGGTCCTGGGAGACCAGATATAGTGAATGCAGGGTCCGGGGAGACCAGATATAGTGAATGCAGGGTCCATGGAGACCAGATATAGTGAATGCAGGGTCCTGGGTTTAGTAACACTTTAAGATTTCTATGGCATTTAATTCCCTGAATCCATTTAAAGATTTGCAAACATTACTGAGCCCTGATGAAGGGGGAATGTGTTTTGCCCCCGAAACACATTGTTTTAACTCCTTTATGAATTTGGTATGGTGCTCCTTCTGTTGGTTTGAGCTCTGAGTGCTGTTCTTGAGGTGTAGCCCTGTTCGCATGTGAGCTGCCTAACCAGTGTCAGTGAGCTCTTTGAATTTTTATTCCTTTACCTTTTTGGTATTAATAAGCATTGAAGTCCCAGCATGTCCTGGATATATCCCTTTGATTGCTTGCAGGACACCAAAGGAAATGGAAGCTGTATTACAAATGGCAGACAAAAAGCTATCCATATTCAACAAAAAGAGTACAAATGAACACACGTTATATAAAACTTACATCTGGACTCTGTCTATCCATAAATGCATTTGTGCAATGTAATGTAGTTCCCTACCTGATCCATTCATGCTGCCTGCAGCCTCCCCTTCCATTTTCCCACTCATTTTCAGTAATCTGGGCTTAATTCAATCACTGAAGTGAAAAAAAAAAAAAACTTCGCTGACAGCCTAGATTACTGTAATTAGAAGAAACGTAGTAAAAAAAAAAAATGAAACACACTTTTTTTATCTGCAGATTTAGGTCACGCTAGACACTATCTGTAAATATATAAAACTTAAAGGGAAATTCTGTTGAAAAAAAGGAAATCCTTTATCTGATGGAGGTTCTTGTAGTCACACAAACAAACCTTGTACAGCCCCATTAAAAGCCTAAAGTTCAGTTGTTTTAATCAAACGGGGTCCATAAGTTACAGCAAGCAATCATAGAGGAAGGAAACAAACAACAGCAACAAACTCCATGCAGACAGTGGATCTTGGTCTTGCTTTATCAAATAAATGTCAATAGGCAAATGTCTAGCACATGTCATAGTGTTCACAATATATAATACAAGCTTCTATAAATGTATGAAACCTCCTCATGGTGTATCTGGCCTGTCCACATGTAATGTGATTATTCTGCATTTTGTCAGACGCAGCCACAGATAATGCAATTCCCCGACATCATCTCATACTTGTTCACTTGTAATGCAATTTCCCTGCTGTCTGTATTGAGTCTCTCCACAAATTACTCAGTTATTCCGCACTCACTCAAACACGCTTTCAATCTTCTCAGACATCCCTACACTGCATATGTATGCTGTACCCAGTCGTACCTGTTGATTAAAAAACCTTCTATTAGTATTATTAAATTCCAAGTTTGTTTAACCACTTCAGTACCAGGCACTTATACCCCCTTCCTGCCCAGGCCAGTTTTCAGCTTTCAGAGCTGTCGGACTTTGAAGGATAATTGCACGGTCATGCGACGCTGTACCCATATGAAATTTTAATAATTTTTTTCACACAAATAGAGCTTTCTTTTGGGTGGTATTTAATAACCACTGAGTTTTTTGCTAAATAAAACAAAAAAACACCTGAAACTTTTGAAAAATAACGCACTTTTCTTCGTTTCTGTTTTAAAATTTTGCAAATAAATAACATTTCTTCATAAATTTAGGTCAAAATGTATTCTGCTACATTTCTTTGATGAAAATAATAATAATAATAATTGAATTTGTATTTTTTTTCCAAATGTTTCTATTCTTTTTTTTATTACATTTTTTCTTTTTTTTTACTATTTTATTTTTCAGCACACTGTGACCATAGCAATACAATGTTACCATAGTAACATTGCACTACTCTGGGCAAGTGATCAGGATTTTTTTTTTTTTTAACACATTATGATTGCTAATACCAATATATTTCATTGATATTTGCAATCATTGTTACTGAATGAAACTGATTCATTCAGTCTTTTGTTGTGATTAGCTGTGATTGGGCAAAGCTGATCACATGATACAGCTGGGCTGTGACTGGCCCTGTCTGTATCATGTGACTGCCTTGACCAGTCACAGCTAACAACATAATTGTATACAGTGGATGGCATAAATGGAAGCCATCCATTGTATACAATTGACATGTGATCTGCTGTGATACAGTTACAAAGCGGTCACATGACACTGGCAATGGACTAGTGTAGTGATATGTCATCGGCTGTCAGTGTAGTGATATGTGCTGTGTCCCGTGGACACAGCAGGTGACAGATCGCGCCACTGTGCGGCCCCGCGGCGGCGTGAGCGGCTTGTTTTCACAGGACGGCATATGACGCCCAGTCACAACAGCGAGTATCCCTCCTGGCCGTCAATCTGCTATAGGCCGGATGGGAACATGTTAAAGGCCAATTTATTCCAGGTACATAAAAACAGATGTTCAATGTCTTACAATACATTTTTTAGAAAACAGCCACAGCCTAAGAAAAGCCTGTGCCCTGCCAGCATGCTATAGAGGAGCATTTTTGCTCGCTGTTTGGAGGCAGCGGTCTCTCTGTAGAGATCTACAGGATAGCACTCAAATGTATAACAGAAAAAAAAAATGACAGGAGATTTAAAGTGGCTGTAAGCCCTTACATACTGTATAGTACAGTGAAGTGACTGGTCTCAGATGATACAAACAAATCTTCCTACACAAGTTGTACCTGTTTATCTGATGTATTTTCTTCTCTACATCCATTCAAATTGCAGAATTTATAAAGCTTATCTGAGAGTTAAGAAAAAAGAGAGCTGAAGTTACACTCTCTGCGGACCACAGTGAGGAGAGTTCTGAGAGCTGATTGGAGGGGAGAGGCACACATCCTTCATACAGCTCACAAGAACAGAGCTGAGGTTGTCAAAATTGCTGGAGCTCCCTCCCTGTCACCATTTTTCTCTTGGTGTCAGGAAAAACATCTCAGAAGTGATTCATACCGATAGCAGAGGAAGCAGACAGAAATAACACTTAGTGCTCTTAATTGACCTCTGATATTTCACCAAAGCCACCCAAAAGGGCTGTTAAAAATAAAATTGTAAAAACATTTTTTTTAAATTCAATTGTAAGAAATAATAGAAAATACAATTGTAAAAATAACACAAAAATAAAATTGCAAAAAAAAATTGAAGGTAAATTAAATCTAAAGGAAATTGTACAGAAATTGTACAGAAAATTGTAACAAATTTGTATAATGTATGGCCAGCCTAAGACATGTGACTGTGTTTGTACAGCTGCTGTGTCCCCATAGCATGACATATGCTGCCTGCACACAGCTACAGCCACATAAAAAAGTGTCATTTTTTTCTTGGGGCAGCAAAGAGAAATGACACTCAGTGCTCTGGATTGAGACAAGTACACGCTATAAAGGGATATGCTTTGTTCGTATTTCATGTCTGAGGTTTACAACCACTTTAAAGTAGTTGTAAAGTCTAAAGATTTTTTTTTACCTTCATGCATTCTATTCCTGTAAATTATTTACGGGAAGTAACCATTCCTTCTTCTATATAATAAGAAAAAAAAAAGTATTTCTAATTTGATGCTTAAAGTATATCTAAAACATAGATATACTTTAAGCTGCATTTACTTATTTCCTTTTGAGAATGCTAGCTGCCTGGCACAGTAGTGAAACAGTAGCCCACATTTAACAGGTTATAATTAAAGCATGGTATACAGCCAAAGTATCTAATTCCTACACACAAACACCTTGGTCACCTCACACTCCATTACAGAAAAACCCACAGATCCCTCACTTTGACTCCATCTAGGATCCATCTATCTGAAACTACTAAGGGGGCTAAAGACTGTTGCTTCTGCAATGCCAAGGGGCACTCTCAAACCTTTTGAGGACCTTAAGTCTACTCATGGCCCGGGCAATCAGCATTTTTTTCACTTTCAATTAACACATGCCTTCCTTTCACAGTTTGGTCCTCAGAGCCCCAAAGTGGGTACAATGGTACTGGAGGACTTCTTGAGAGACCCATTCCTAAGTAAACCGCTTTCCTCCATTTATCACATGCTCCAATCCTTCTCCACAAGTCTACTTGTTTGCAAGGAACATTGGACTGCTGATCTCTCCAACTTTGGACTTGGAGGATTGAACTACTAAGGGGGTAAAGACTGTTGCTCATGCAATGTTAAGGGCACTCTCAAACCTTTTGTTGACCTTAAGTCTACTCATGGCCTTGGCAACCAGCATCTTTTTCACTTATAAATTAAGACATGCCTTCCTTTCACAGTTTGGTCCTCAGAGCTCCACAGTGGGTACAATGGCACTGGAGAACTTCTGAGGGACCCATTCCTAAATGAACCTGCTTTCTTCCATTTATCTCATGCTCCAATCCTTCTCCACAAGCCAACTTGTTTGCAAGGAACTTTGGACTGCTGATCTCCCAACTTTGGACTTGGAGGAGGATTGAGATGATGCAATGTTAGGGGACTCAAACCACTTAAGTTTAATGGTGCCTTATCTCTGCTAGTTTGGGAGCTCCCCTTATTCAATTCCTAAAATTTCTTCCACAAGATCTAATTGACTTCTTTGAGTCTTTATAAGGTGACTTCTCGTCTTCACATCTACACAATGCTGGTAATGTACAGATGTTTTCTAGACTTGCCAAAAAACCCAAGTCTATTGGAACTTGATCACCAGGTTTCTGCAAGATTTAACAGGCATCCTCGAACATCCTGCACCTCATCTCTACCTATTGGGCCTCACAGAGTCTCCAATGCCCTCTACTGCTACTCGCACTTTGTTGGGTAACTTACTTTACTAGGCTCACAAAGCCATAATTCTTCACTGGAATGACCCTGAACCATGCTTGGATTCCTGCAAAATGTCTGGAAATTCTATGCTGCCTTTTTACAGAACAAATGATGAAAGTAGTAGGTGCCTCCAGAAATTTCAGAAAGTTTGGAATCTTTGGCTGAATTACTACCTTTTGACCTCAGAACCGTGATGTGTGTTACCTAAATTTCACATATCACAGCCATTAGTTTGTCTTCATCTCAACCACCTGTAGATGTGC